GCCTACAGAAGCCCACAGGAGTCGTTGGAGAATGAGTGTTTCACACCCAAAGCCTTCTTTAGCAAGACGGTATAAAGGCTGTACCACGCAGAAGCTCTCTGAGGTCCTCCTCTGGGGCAGGCCTTATGCTGGAAGCTGCAGACACAACAGATAAATCATGTATGACTCCTGTTCACAGTCTAGTGGGACAGGCAGAAAGACAGGTAAGATCAGAGAATGATGAGAGCTGCAGTGCAGGGAAAGATGAAGGCTAGGGAGACCAGAGGAGTGTGTACTAGGAGAAGAGGTCCAGAATCCATATAGGGTTAACCAGAGAAAAGGGTTAAAGAGTATGGTAAGGTTTGTTTGTGACTATGTGGGTGGTGGCATTCAGGGAACTGAGGGTCTGGTGCATTTAATGCTTTGGATCTAAAGATGTTCAAAATGGAACTGAAATATTCCCCCATTCTCTTTATAGATCAATAAAGACACTCACCTGTATACTCTGATTATTCGCTTCAATGCTACTTATGAGGTTAAAATTGACAACCAGCAGGTGGCAGCTGGGAATCTGAAGGAGGATTGGGACTTCTTGCCTCCCAGGAAAATAAAAGACCCCTATGCCTGGAAACCAAGGAAATGGGATGAATGCCTGCACATAGAGGATCCGGAAGACAAGAAACCTGAGATCAGAGGGCGTTTGGCTGGGAAGCAGGTGGGGTCTCAGCTGTGGAAATAGGAGAAGGAGGCTGGGAATGATGGAACAGAGACTGGAGACATCAATCCCTCAAGGAAGTATTCAGCTAGATATTGTTTTCCAAAGAGGCATGGAGGGAAGAGGGCAGCCACTTACTTTTGTTGGGGATCCAGCAGCCTCTGTGAACAGTGTGTTATGATCCCTCTTTTGTGGATAAGGAAACTGATGCTTAGAAAATGAAGTAACTTGCACAAGCATATACGCGTTAGAACCAAGATTTGAACCTACATCTTTTTGACTCTTAAGTTATCAATATGGGGAAGGTGTGGAGTATACTCATTGGCTCATTATTATTATTCTGGAAAGCTGTACTGGATATAGCTATGAATAGAATAACCCTTGCCCTCTAGGGATTCTGAATATAGTAAGGGAGGCGATAAGAAAACAAAGATCAAAATATGTGATCAGTGCTGAGAGCCAGGGAGGCAAGCCAGTGAAAGCCCAAAAGAGGATCTCAGCCCAGCCTGAGTTGAGGTGTAGGCAACGGTCTGGGAAAGAGAAGGAAATGCTTGAGTGAGTGAGTTAACTTAGGAGTTGGGAACATAAACTCTGGGGTCAGGCAGATATGGGTTTGAGCACCACCATTTTCTAAGTATGGGACCCCATCCTACTAGCAGTGAACCCTGCACAAGGAGCGTAACTGCTGTGAAAGTTCAATTTTGCAAACGGGAATTATTTTAATACTTATGTGTGAACATTACTGTGAAGATTAAATGAGCTAATAAAAAATACATAATGTAGTGCCTGGTATATAGGAAGTCCTTAATGTATGGCCTTTATAGATTAATAATATGCTGGATTTCAAATAATAGATTTATTAGAGAAAAGTAAGTGGGAAATTGGGGTGGAGGGAAGACATTCCAGACCCAGGGAACAGCAGAAGCAAAGGCACAGTTGTTAGTTGGGAAACAGCATGGTGTGTAAAGAACTGAAAGCAGTAGTTCAGTATTTGGGGAACATAAGGTTCAAGGTGGGGCATGGTAGGAGATTAGGTTGGAAAGGTCTGTTGGAGCCAGGCCAGGAAGGGCCTCACCCACCACATTGCTACTCTGCAGGTCAGAGCAGGGTCAGTGTCAGGCAGAAGAGATGCTTGAGGTCAGGCAGGGGTCAGCATGGGACCAGGCAGCTGGAGTCCAGCCCCTAAAGAGAGGCCTGCAGAGAGATGGGCAGTTGCCTAGCCACATGTAGGGAGATTTAGCAAAGGGCCCCAGTCCTTGGTGGAGGGAGGTGTAGTAAGGGAATTAAGGCAGATGATCAGGCAAAGTGTCTGGGCCTTTAGCACCATGGAAAAATAAGGGGCTAGGTTGCTGCCATGCCCAGAAGGCAGGCTTAGGGTAGGAAGACTAAACATGGACCCTCCCCTCCTGGTGAGGACCATGCACCTGATGTAGTCAGGGTTGGCTTGGCTCAAGGGCTTCAGGAGAATAGAGATGCTGCAGGCCTCTGTGCTCCCTGTTGAGTGGAATAAGGGAAGATGGAAACTGATTAAATCGACAGGGCACTGTCACAACTATAGCCCCCAGGATAGGTTGCTAACTATCTGTCTTAGAAATCATAAAACTGCTGGGACAGGCTGGGAACCAGAGAAATATCCCAATCACAATTGTGTTGAATGACTGTGAGTTTGGTGGGCTGGCATGGAAGCCTTCAGTCAATCTGGACAAATGGTCACAACCAAAGCGAACTGCCAGGCAGACAGAGCAAAGCCTTGGAGGCTAAACAGCATAGAAATATAAAAGTTGGGGTAGGTTATTTTTGATCTTGTAGATCTCTGTCTTGGGAAATCAGGGGGTCCTGGGGTACAAGGAAGGACTGACGCAGGCCTGGGAGCATACTGGGATACAAAGCAGGTGACCAAGATGCCTTCAAGAAGAGGGACCTAGGCTAAAAGACCTATTATAACAATAAGGGGCCATGATTGTGGGGGAGGTTGTGTCCAGAGACAAGGGAAATTTCCGTCTTATTTAAGCTTAAAGAACTCAAGATCAAAGTGATAGTGAACCCAGAGGAGGGACTGGAAGTGCTTAAAGCCTCTTTGTTTTCTGCCCTATGTTTGTTTACAGGTCCTGAGCTGGATCCTCATATAGATGATGGCGGGAGGGGGCAGACAGAAGTATCCAGGTCCAGCCTGACAGCACTCTGGATGCCCCGTTTCTTTTCTTTTTTTCCTTTCCTTTCCTTTCCTCCTTTCCTTTCCTTTCCTTTCCTTTCCTTTCCTTTCCTTTCCTTTCCTTTTTCCTTTCCTTTCCTTTCTTTTTATGATCTCGCTCTGTCACCCAGGCTGGAGTGCAGTGACATGATCATGGCTCACTGTGACCTCCACCTCCTGGGCTCAGATCCTCCTGCCAGGTGCGTGCCACCTGCTTACCTAATTTTTGAAGTTTTTGGGGGTAGGGACAAGGTCTCACTATATTGCCCAGGCTGGTCTTGAACTCCCGGGCTCAAGCAGTCCTCCCACATTGGCCTCCAAAGTGCTGGGATTGCAGATGTGAGCCACCATACCCCGCCTGGACCCCTAGTTTTATCCCAGCCTACGCATCTACCCTCATGAAGGAATATTTCATTTTAGGACTGGGAAGACTTTGAATACATCCTGGATCCAGAAGCCAAGAAGCTGGACGACTGGAATGAGGCTATGGATGGGGAGTGGGAAAGGCCTCTGATACCAAACCCAAAGTATAAGGTGAGGGGGGTCTCTCTTTCCAATGGGTGTGAGAGATGAGACAAAAGAAATGTAAATGCTAATTGATGAAACAGAAATTCTGAGATCCTGTCATCTTCCTTTCCCTTAAGCCCCCCAATAAGACTGTAGCCTCATCTGAGCCCTGCTGTCAGGGCTATGCCTACATAGGATGGGGTGGACTGGTAAAGGCCAACATTGACAGGTATAGGGCCAGGCAGCCCTGGGCCTGGAGTTTGTCCAGAGTGGTGGAAAGCAGCCTGTCACAGGAGCGTAGTCAAAATAGGACATGGGTTTGGGGTCAGGAACTGGAAGTCTTAGAAACAGGCCAAAAGGAAAAAGGGTAGGACATGAATGAGCCAAAAATGCAAGGGGTAGGGACACTTTTTATTTTATTTATTTATTCATTTATTTTGAGACAGAATGTTGCACTGTCATCCAGTCTGGAGTGCAGTGGCATGATCTTGGCTCACTGCAACCTCCACCTCCTGGGCTCAAGAGATTCTCATGCCTCAGGCTTCAAGCAGCCAGGACTACAGGCACGCGCCACCACGCCCGGCTAATTTTTTGTATTTGCGGTAGAGACAGGGTTTCACTCTATTGGGCCAGGCTGGTTATAGCATATCCACCATCCCTACACAGGAAGCATGGTGGCATCAGCTTCTGGGGAGGCCTCAGGTATCCACAGTGATGGCGGAAGGTGATGGCAGGGTGTCTCACACGGTGGGAGCAGGAGCGAGAGAGAAAGGGGGGAGGTGCTACACAATTTAAAAGTAAGCAGATCTCATGATCACTCACTCACTATTCAGTACCAAGAGGGGATCGTGCTAAACTATTTATGAGAACTCTGCCCCTGTGATCTAATCACCTCCCACCAGGCCTCACCTCCGACACTGGGGATTACAATTCAACATGAGATTTGGGTGGGGACATGATCCAAACCACATCAATTGGCCTTTCTGATTGCATAAGATCAGAAGAATGACAAAATACTAATGCCATGTTCACTGTTTGGTTCTTTGCTTAGGGAAAATGGAAACCTCGGATCATTGGTAATCCCAATTACCAGGGGGAATGAATTCATCTCAAAATAGATAACCCTAAATATAAGCCTGATGCCACCATTCGTCACTATTATAACATTAGTGTTCTCAGCCTGGACCTTTGGCAGGTAAAGCCCTCTGGGCTCAGAGCCACTGAGCCGCAGTTTCTCAGTTTTCACAAAGTAGAAAGAGCCCCAGGCTGGAAATCATAAGACTTGAATAAGTCTTGGTCTTTCTAAGCCTCAGACTGCTGATCTTTTAAACGGGGCCGTCACATTCTTCCTAATAATTATAACAGTTACTAAAATTTGCTGAGTCCCTCTCATGTACCAAATGCTGTACTAAAGACTTTGCATATGCCATTTAATTTTCACTAGGAAGTCTCCTACTTCTTTTTTTTATTTTGGAAAATTTTAATATATTCTCTATTGTTAAGTGCACCAGATGCTGGACTTCTGAAGCAACAATTATACTTCAGCATAATAACATTTTCTACATTTTTTCTGTTAATGTTGCTTATTCCTCTGATTTATCTAGAATCAATGAATCTGAAAAACAAAAAGATTCTTTAAGCACCTGGTAAATTTCGGGTCACACATTAGAAAATGAGCAAGCATCAGTAATATTGATGGGAGTGAAAATATGACATTGCGAAAGTCTCCTACTTCTAAATGTGAAAAGGAGACTCAGAAAAGTTAAATAATTTGCCTGAAGACATATATCTGTTAAGGTAAGTAGAAAAGCTAGAATTTAAGTACAGCTCTTTTTTTGTTTGTTTGAGACAGAGTCTCACTTACTCTGTCATCCATGCTGGAGTGCAGTGGCGCAATTTCAGCTCACTGCAACCTTTGCCTCCTGGGTTCAAATGATTCTCCTGCCTCAGCCTCCTGAGTAGCTGGGACTACAGGCATGTACAACTACGCCTGCCTAACTTTTCTATTTTTAGTAGAGACAGGGTTTCACCATGTTGGCTAGGCTGGTCTCCAATTCCTGACCTCAAGTGATCCACCGCCTTGGCCTGGGATTACAAGCGTGAGCCACCATGCCCAGCTGAGTGCAGGTCTTTCTGATGTCAGATTCAAAGTTCCAGTACTTTACACTGCTTCTGCTGGTCCTACATGATCCTTGGAGGTGCTTCTAGGGATAAAGGGAAGTCAGAGATGTGGTAAAACTCTGAAACATTAAAATCCCCAGACAGATGTTAGGGGTGATTGCCCCAGCCATGATGATAAGTCCTGACCCAGCTTCCCTCCCTCTGCCAGTCATCTTTCCTCTAATTGGAAGGTAAAGAGGAGGGGACAAATACTCCAGCCTTTGAAAAGTTGTCCTCCTCTCCATCTCTTTCTTCTCTGAGACTTATTACTAAAGATGGAGAGGACTGCTCCCCAAATCAGGAGAAAAGAGAGTGCCTCAAGGCCCCAGAGTAAAGGTCTTGGCCATGATTCCTCCCAGGAGTCTGTTAGAAACTATAGTCTACAAAGTCCTGGATGAAGAATTCCCCTGGAGAGGAAGGGAACTCACTTTTGTTAAACACTGGCCTGGGGTCAGTGCTTTACCTACATTACCTCCCCAGATTCTCACAACTCTATCAGGTAAGTACTATTATCCCTTATTATTTCTGCTTTTTATGTTTGAGAGAATTGAGACTCAGAAATCCCAAGTGACATGTCCAAGAGCACACAGCTAACGCATGGTAGAGACATGATTCAAACATAGGTCTGTCTGTCTCTAAAGCCTTTGCTGTAATGATTACACCCACTGTACAACAGAGCCTCTGGAAGCCATAGCCACCTGTCCTTGGGTATATCTTGCAAAGTCCCATGGCCACGGAAATCTGTGTCTCTGATCAGTGATTTCTACAGTTCAGAGCCACCGAAGGTTTCTGGGACTGACGCCCCCTATTTGAAGCTTTCTTGGTTTGTTTATTTATTTTCTACTTTATTTATTTATACTTTCTTGCTTCTCTGGCTCAAGAAGACCAACATAGGAGTAGAATGAGGTCATGTATGTAAATAACCAGGAGCATGTGTAGCGGAGTGGGGAAGGGTTCAGAAGAAAAGGAAGGAAGGGAGGAAGGGACACATTGTATCTTTCTTTTCTTTTCTTCCTCTCTAATTTGAAGAATGTGGATACACTTTGTATTGTTATTTTTTTTTTACAGTTGTCTCTTTTTAATACATAAGGAGAACTTTCCACATCTTGTAAACATATGTGATCATATTAATATGCCTAATCTGATTATTTCATTAAAATGCTTATCTCCCCACTGAAAACATTAAGGTACACATTTTAAACTATATCTTTATTCAAATACAAAATTAAAAGTATTTGACACTAATTGCTCTGGGTTCTATCAACCTCTGCAAGCAGGCAAATCTTAGTATTTGAAGAATTTAAACCATGCCAGAGGAGTGCTTCTCAAACTTTAACATGCATATGAATAAAGTGGGAGGTCTTATTAAAATACAGATTCTGATCCAGTAGGTCTGGAATGAAGCCCAAGAGACTACATTTCTAAAACTCCAGCATTATCTCTTAATTTTGTGAGGAGTGTGTGTGTGTGTGTGTGTGTGTGTGTGTGTGTGTGTGTGTGTATTTGAGAGAGAGAGAATTCTGCACAATGCAGACATTACCCTTGGGAGCATGTTTTCTTCTAACTTCTAATCAGGTCTGGCACTCACAGGTCCTATTCCACCACCTCCCACATCCCCCGCCCCCGCACTCAGCCAGCACAGAACATCCAGGTTACCACGGGGTCCCTGCACTTTATTGGAAAAGTCAAGTGACTCTCAGCATGGAGATGGGTGGGAATTCCCTCACCTGGTTCTGCCCCAATTTCCAGCCTTCAGATGCTCTGGCAACCCAGATGCCCTCCCCATCCCTCCTTGGTCCCAGCCTAGTAAGATGATCAACTTTCCTGCCTAGTCCCTGACCTCTCCTGTTCCCTATTCTGACACTTCCAAAGACAACCCCTTTACCTTGTTTTCTTTGGTGGAAGTGACTGCATTGTTTTTTTTTCGTTGTCGTTGGTTTTGTTTTTTAAATCAGCACAGAGGCTGGGAGGAGATGGTAGAGAACAAAGAAACGTTTCCTCTTACCATTGGAACTCTTCATGATCTTTGAAGGAATGAGTGTAGTCTAACCACAATGAGTATAACCTAGTCATAATGTCATCACCCAATGGGTTCATCTAACCCACTGCCCGGAAAAGCTGGAGCACTGAGAAGAGCAAGTTTCCACAACAGAGAGTTTGATAAATGCAAAGCTCGCTAAGCGGAAGGATAGGAAATTTTTATTACTCATATTAGCCTCTCTGAAAATTCGAAGGCTAGGATTTTTTTAAGGATAGCTTGGCAGGCAGGGGGCTAGGGAATGGGGAATGCCAATTGGTTGGGTTGAGGGTGAAATCAGAGAGTCAAAACTGTCCTCTTGAGCTGAGTCAGTTCCTGGGTGGGGGCCACAAGGCCAGATGAGCCAGTTTATCAATTTGCGTAGTGCCAGCTGCACTCTGCATCAGAATGCAGAGTCGGAAAAACACCTCAAATACCAATCTTAGGTTTTACAATAGTGATGTTATCTACAGGAGAACTGGGGAGGTGGCCTCTGGCTGCATGACTCCTGAGTCATAATTTCTATTTTGTTAGTTTTACAAAGGCAGTCTGGTCCCCAAGCAAGGAGGGGGTTTGTTTCGGGAAGGGGCTGCTATCGTCTTTTTTAAAAAAAAAAAAATAGATTATAAACAAAATTTCTTCTATAGTTAGTTTGGCCTATGACCAGGAATGAACAAGGGCAGCTTGGAGGTTAGAAGCAAGATAGAGTTGATTAGGTCAGATTTCTTTCACTGTCACAGTTTTCCTAGGTCAGATTTTTCTCACTGTCATAATTTTTGCAAAGGTGGTTACAATAATACAAAGCACATTGATATCCCTACATCGTATGGTCTGTGCCACAGCCCTGTGAGGCCAAGAGGGTAGGACTTACCGTTGCCATTTTACTAATGAGAACACTGAGGACTCAGAGAGGAGACTTGACTTGTCAGGGCCTGTCGCTAACAAGTGCCCAGACCTTTGCTCTTTACATGTTATTACTCAAGTGGGATAGCACAGGTAACTTGCAATGAATTCCTTAGGGCCTTAGGCTTTAGTCGAACACAGTTCACAGTTCTTTTACAGAGAAGATATAAGTAGACCATGATCACCAGTTAGGATGCAGGACTGGCAAGCTCATAGCCCATGAGTTTAATGTAAGGGCAATGGGGGCAAAAGGGCATTAAAAACAACAGCGAGATTAGGAGCAGTTCTCATGAAAGTAGGGAAAGTGGAAAAGCCAACAAATAGACAGTTCTCTTAGCAAGACTGCTGATGACTCAAAAAAAATCCCAAAGGTAAGAAAATATCTTAAAGATGCAGAAGGAATTTTAAAAACCAATTGTTAAAAAATGGCTCATAGCAAAATAATTATCTCTATTCAAAGTGGCTATTTTATCACTTGTTTCTCTCTTGGAGGCAGGGTTGGTTGGGTAATGTAAGCCCAAATAAAAGCCTTTCTATTAAAAACAAGAAAACTTTTTTGGCTATGAAACAGTAAGGCAGGGTTTTTTGTTTTTGTTTTCAATTTTTAGTTTTTGTGGGTACATAGTAGGTATATATATTTATGGGGTACATGAGATATTTTGATACAGGCATGCAACATGTAATAATCATATCAGGGTAAATGGGATATTCATCACCTCAAGCATTTACCCTTTGTGTTGCAAACAATCCCATTACACTCTTTTAGCTGTTTTTTTATTATTATTATTATACTTTAAGTTCTAGGGTACATATGCACAACGTGCAGGTTTGTTACATATGTATACATGTGCCATGGTGGTGTGCTGCACCCATTAACTCATCATTCACATTAGGTATATCTCCTAATGCTATCCCTCCCCACCCCCCACCCACAATAGGACCCGGTGTGTGATGATCCCCTTCCTGTGTCCCAGTGATCTCATTGTTCAATTCCCACCTATGAGTGAGAACATGCCATATTTGGTTTTCTGTTCTTGCGATAGTTTGCTGAGAACAATGATTTCCAGCTGCATCCATGTCCTTACAAAGGACATGAACTCATCCTTTTTTATGTCTGCATAGTATTCCATGGTGTATATGTGCCACATTTGCTTAATCCAGGCTGTCACTGATGGACATTTGGGTTGATTCCAAGTCTTTGCTATTGTGAATAGTGCCACAAGAAACATACGTGTGCATGTGTCTTTATAGCAGCATGACTTATAATCCTTTGGGTATATCTCCAGTAATGGGATGGCTGGGTCAAATGGTATTTCTAGCTCTAGATCCTTGAGGAATCGCCACACTGCTTTCTACAGTGGTTGAACTACTTTATAGTCCCACCAACAGTGTAAAAGTGTTCCTATTTCTCCACATCCTCTCCAGCACCTGTTGTTTCCTGAATTTTTAATGATCGCCATTCTAACTGGTATGAGATGGTATCTCATTGTGGTTTTGATTTGCATTTCTCTGATGGCAAGTGATGATGAGCATTTTTTCATGTGTCTGTTGGCTGTATGAATGTCTTCTTTTGAGAAGTGTCTGTTCATATCCTTCAACCACTTTTTGATGGTTTTTTTTTTTTTCTTGTAAATTTGTTTGAGTTCTTTGTAGGTTCTGGATATTAGCCCTTTGTCAGATGAGTAGATTGTAAAAATTTTCTCCCATCCTGTAGGTT